GAACAAGAACAATTAAGGCAATTAAGATAGCATTAAAATTTTTGATGAGAAGTTGTCATTTTCTGTATGTTAAGGTTAGATATTAGCTGCTGAACTTTCGGGGGGTAGAGGACCTTAACTAAAACTTCCAACATCAATGATACAACATTGTTTTGAACTTGCAATAAAGTTTTGTTGGACTTTTTTTTTATTGAGGTGATAAAGGAGTCCATGTAGTCATGCCTCAAAGCCAGTTTACTCTCCTAGTACTTTAAAAAAAAAAAAAATCCATTGGTAGTTATCAAGTTTAACAGTTGAATTTAATTTTCTTAGTAGTTTTCTGATTTATAACTACTAATTTCTTGGAAAATTTGAAAATTTCCAAAAAGTAAAAATTCAGTATCTTGTTATCCAACTATACAAAGATGACTACAGTTAAATGTTTGGTGCATTTTCTTCCAGTCTTTTTTTTACAATGTATAAATATTAAAATTATTTCATAGTTGAGATCATACTGAATATATGGTACTGTATCTTGCTCTTTTTTTTTTTTTTTCCCCTCTTCATTTTAACTTGAGCATTTTCCCCATGATATTAAAACTGTCTGAAAAATTGAAAGCATTTTGGGCTGTCAGCATAACTGAAAATGTTTTCTTGGTGTGACACATGTATCTTTGTAATTGGTTTGATTTAGTATGCTTTGCTTCAATAAAAGTTCAGTATTACAATTTACAGATTGGGGTGGGGAGTGGTATCTACTTCAAATTACCAAAATCTTCCTAGTAGATTTTCTTTTTCAATGCTTGAACTGGTGCATTTAAAACCCACATTTACACACTAATGTTTTTTGCTTAAAACCTCAGAACACAACTTTGTGAAAAGGGAGGGCTCTCCATTTGAATAGTGCAATTGGTTTCAAATGCAAGAATACTAGTTTCTTTAGAGTTCAGTCAGGATGTTAATCACTTTGTTCAAGTTGGGGGGATTTCAAATTCATTTCTGCTGGACATGAGAAAACTGGTGGAACAGATCTGCAGAGTGTCCTGAACCTGTGCTGAGTGGATCAACAGTAATAACAGTCGGCCTTTTTTCCTTCAGGGCTAGCCCTCTGCTCTCACAGGGTTGGGGGTAGGGTGGGTTGGGGGTGTTGGGAAGCAAGTTGAGAGTGTAGACCTGGCGTCCAGGCTAAGGGACTGCTGGGTGGAGAAAGGGGGTAGATTGGTTCTGCATTTGTTCTTTCTTTGCCTATGTGTGACCTAACTGTGTTGGTAAGCTGAAATCACATGTAATTCTCAAAACAGGGTTTTCTTTTTATGCTAAGCATGAACTTGGTATGAAAATAGTAGTTATGTGCTGCTTTTAACAATTTACCATGTAACCTAGATTCCTATAATCTGGATTTGTAACTTGGTTTTAGCTCCAGTGGGAGCTTTCTTTTCAAAGTATGATTAAATTCTCCTAATCTTTTTTTTTTCTCACTCCTTCACTAATCATTTTAAATGGATGCAGAAACTTTAAAACTGATAAAGTTTATCTTGTATTAAGCAATTGAGACTTTTCTGTCTAATCATACTACTTGTTCTATTGCTTTTGTCAATTGATATTCCCATAGCCCTTTTGAAAAAGTGTTTTTGGTAGAAGTCAAGTTGTATGCCCTTGGGCTGTACAACTTCATTTTTAGTTCTGAAGCATGTTTAGATTCTCTGTACTTGTATAGGCCTGATTGTTCATGTGGCTTAGTTAAGGTTTCCTAAAGCATCTTCTGGTAGCTGTCATTGGTTTATTAAATAAAATTTGGGCTGTTTAAAATACACATATTTTTTGGTTGTTAATTTTTTTTTTTTGAAAAGTCTTTTTGGGGAAGATTAAATAGTTAAACTTTGAAAAGAAATCTTACTACTGAGAGTAGGTAATAAATAGGTAATATGGCACATTGTGATTTTACTTTAGCTGTCAAACTAAACCATACACCCAACAGAGAAAAGATGGGTTTTGTGGAAGTTACTGGGGAATTTTCAAATTGATGTTTACGCTCATCTTTTTTCATGGAGAATGGCAGGGTGTGCCTGTTCACTTATGGAGTGACTTATGAGCCTCTGGTGTTAAAACATACTGCCATGGAACTCCCTACCTTAAGAAGGGGCATTAGAGTGGGGTATCTTGTGTGTGTGTGTGATCTCAAATGATATAATAATATAGGACATCCTGAGTTGAATTACTGAAGTAGCCCCGTTTATTGCTTAAGGTCCAAAATTTGCAGTATAATTACCTTAGAAAACGCCTGCATTATGAAACAAGTATGAAAAGGTTATTGTTTAAAGTATGTGGACACCTTTTAGTAGTATGTTGGGAGCTTTGAGATTAGAAAGGAAGGGGCAACTTTCCTCAAGGAGTTTACAGACTTGATGAAGAAGTTTAAAAAATGTCAGCAATTTGGCATTTTTACCTTGATGGTAAAGCTTTAGGTGAAGAGAGGCACCTGAGTATTTTCTGGTGTTGGAGAGGTGAATAAACATTAACAGCTTTGGATTTTCAGTGGATTTCAAAATACTGGATAGAACTTTGAAACATTTTTTTTTTTTTCAGAATCCAGTGAATATTATGTGCCAGGCACCATTTTAAATTCATTAAAGATGAAAAGACCCTGTTTAGGAAGAGTTGAATAATTGTACTGTATTATAGAAAATGAGCATGAGATGCTGCTTTCCCTTTCTTTTTGAAATTCATTTTTAATAAACCTTTATGGGCCGGGAAAGGAGCACAGTTCTTTTAGAAAATTTTTGTTTGAGATGTCCAACAGGTAGTTAGAAAAATAGATAGGTCCTTGAGCTCAGGAGAAAGGTCTGCTTCTGTAGCACTAAGTTGGAAAATGATGGGTAAGCAAAGGGGATTCAAGGCTGTCAGCCTGGGTGATACCAACCTGTCAGGCAGAACGGATGTCTGAAAAGACCACTGAGGAAGGTGCGAAGAGTTTGAAGCAGGAGCCAGCAAGGGACTAAAACAGGAGAGGTGGGAGAACCAGGAAAGAGGCCTCAGAAAGGAGGTGTTACTGGATAGGAGAGGGATGCTTGTGTCCCCCTCTCCCCCCATCTCACCTCCCATCCGAATGACATGCCCATAATGCCTGGCCTTCCCTTTCCTCTTTTTCTGTTATTAATAACTAATTACAACAGTATCAGAGGTGCTGGAAGAACCAGTGGGGAACAGGTGTTGGAAGGGGGAGGCGCAGGCCCAGCCATTTTAAGTAACTGGAAATTATCTGATATAGGCAGTCATGATTCAGTCTTAAAGTGGGGTGGGGGGCAGTGAAAAATGCAGGAGGGAGAGTAACTGTTTAAAGAGATGGGGCCTAAAGCCACTTCCACACTAAATTTAGACTGTAAGAGAGGGCAGGATAACAGTGAATAGGAATATAGAATCTGCTTGAGTTTTAGTTCCAGCTCTTGCTTACTAGCTGTGTGACCTTGGATGGCTTATTTAATCTTGTTTTTTCATCTACAAAATGGAGGTAATACAGATGATAATAGGGTTAGTTTAAGGATGAAATTGGAAAGTACTTAATGTAGTGCTAGACACAGGAAGTACTTCATATTAGTGCTTATGTTTTATTTTTTTCATACATAATAGCCTTGGAAAGGCATTTAGAGCTTAAAAGGGACACGATCAGTGGGAAGGGTTGGATGCATTGTCCACAGGGAGAGCAATGGTGGGGGGCAGGTTTGTTAGAGCAGTTTAGAAGAGGTGTGGTCTGCAGAACATGCTCAACATACGGGAGGTGGTTGAGGCTGTGGGTTTGAGAATGTTCACAGTATTTGTAGAGGGAGAACAATGTCAAAGGGAATTTAATAGATTTGCTATTTAGGTAAGAAGCAGAGAATTCTTCCTTCAACTTAATGTTCACATTTAAATCATTTACAGACCATAAAATTAGAAAGAATGGGCCCCTATGAAACCAACTTCTAAGCTTATTGTAAGTCCTGCTCTTTGGAAACATTGATTATACTAGATCATGTTATATAAATTCAATCAAGCAATAACAAAATCCTCATGTGGGGCTAGAATAGCATAAGCGAATATTCATGAGAAGGAAAATCAACTGTTGGTGATGGTGGGTTTTTCAATTCAATGCTATGGTATATTTTTCACTGCCTCACTCATGCCCTTTACAGGTTTGTTCTGAACATTTAGGAGTGGAACATGTTTGCCTCCTCAACTGTTCAAGAGTGTAAGGAATTGAGTGTTCAGCAATGAGTGCTGGGTCTGTTCTGGATTTAGTAATTTACCAGGAAGCAAAGCAGCAGGATTTTTTATGGCACGCTTGTGCTCTGCCCTTCTCTAAAGGATTATAGATGATGAAGAGTTAGACTGTCCTAAGTGGGTATCTAAAGAACAGGGTCCAGACCTTGGGTGATCTGGCAGACCAATTTGTCCAGGGCATACTCCTTTTGTACTTGATGTCTGTTCCAGCATAGTTTATAGTAGTGGCCCTTTTTGGGTGAAAAATTACAGTCACCTTATCTAGAGGGGATGTTGGGACAAGCCCACTCAGGCCTGGAGTGATTGCTTGCTCCCTTTTGTGCATGTGCGCACATACCCACACCCTTCTACACCCACAGATGTGGCAGAAAGGGATTTGTTGGAATGGTTACTCTTGATAACCAAAATTGTTTAATACGAGTGCCTGCTGTCTTTAGCTGTAAGTTGCATATACAGTACCTAGCTAAGAAAATGGGTAGATTTCATGATCTGTACACCTAGTGTGGTGCTTGCCATGTAATAATCTTCCAATAATTGGTAGTTACCAATATTGTAAGTATTGGTAGTATTACCAATAAAGCATCTCATATGTCAAAGCCAGACAATTCCTCTTTCCAGAATAAAACTTAATTGTTCCCTGGGGCCCTAACAACGAAAATAGGCAGACATCCTTTAACAACTGTGACAACATTGGAAATAAAGTGGGTAGCTTTCAAGAGGGTTGAATAATTGAGCAACTCTAAAACCTTTTTTCTTCTTCCTAGGTCTTAGTGGTGCAATGGCTAGTATAAGCGTGCGTTCGAGTACCCCAGGCTCTCCTACACATGTAAGCAGTGGATCGAATGCTAGTCGAAGGAGAAATGGACTCCATGATGTCGATTTGAACACTTTCATATCAGAAGAAATGGCACTCCACTTGGACAATGGTGGAACTAGAAAGCGTACCTCAGCCCAGTGTGGCGATGTCATTACAGACTCACCAACCCATAAACGCAACAGAATGATCTAAACTGAAAACATTTTCACACCCACCATGCTGCTTGAAAGCCACTCGATCCTCAACATATACTATTATTGCAAAGGAAACATGAGGCCATCTTCCCTTGTTCACTGTTTAAAACAAGTGAATTCTATAGTGGTTGCCATAAAAGGAAGTTCTAGGTATTTACAGTAGATGCCTCTTGTAACCATGGCTTTCTTAAAACTATAATCCTAGCAGAGGACATCAGATATTGTGTAGTCGTTAGCAAGATCATCATAGGCAAACATATATCCGTTCCGAGGCTAAAAGTGACCTTAACTGTATTTATTCTCAAAGGGAAAGGAAATATCAGATGTTTATTTGGTTATAGAATGCTTTTTTCCCCCCCTCCATTTCCTGCTGTGTTGAGTATTTTGCTTCAACAGTATTGCCAGGTTCCTAAAATTGTCTAAAACACGATTTGGCTTCCTTGTCAAATCTGCAGGCTTCCATTTTTGCACAGCAGCACTGTACCGTGCACCTGGTTTCTGTATAGTAACAGTGTGCAACTTCTAATTATTGGACTGTGCCCTGTTTTTAGTTTTCAACGCAGTTGCTAATTCTGGTGATTGTGTGATGTAAAGAGGTGCTATGATGGTCATGCAATTAATACTTAATATTGAATCAATACACAGAACTTTATTGGATTCACTTTGTGTGTGTTAGTGCTCTAAAAGTAGCAATATTAAATTGCCCCCAGATGAACCCTGTAGGCTTAAACTCCAGTTTTAAGACAAGTGCTGCTTCCCATGCAGGGTACTATCCTTATGGTAAATGTAAACATGTAGACTGCACTCAAGGTGACCTAAAGTAGAGAGGTCATGAACTTTGAGAGTAGGCTTCATTTTGGATTGGTATTCATGAGAGGGAGATGAGTGGTGGGAGGGTAGGTATTCCAGTCTTTCTGTCCTGTTTTACATTTTTCATGAGTGCCCTACATTGTGCAGTTTCCATTGGAATGGGTGGCAGGTTGAAAAAGGTCTTTTATCTGCTTATAGTGTGATTACAACTTAAATAGCAAAACCCAACTCTCTAGTCCCGCTCCGAAAAAGTGCAGTTTGGAATCTCATTCTGGAAAAGATGGAATCGCATGGAGGTTCTCTAGATGTTAGGTAGACCTAAGTAAAAGTTCTCACTAGATTCCTCTTTTGAGTAAATATAAGACCTCTTGTAGCTACAATGTTTTAGAGCATGTTTCATCTTCATTTTAAATATCTTGAACTGAATGATAGTCTTTTTTTAGATGAAGAACTGATGTCAGCCTGCCAGGTACTGTAATTTATTCTATCATATTATTATATAATATATATCAAGTAGGACAGTGAAAAATGTTTCCTTGCAAATTTGTAGTCCAGTATCAGTTACTTCTTGTTTTTATCCTTAAAAAAGACCATTGCAAATCCAATGGAAGGGTTTTTCCAGTAATTTACTCACAGCACTTTGTTAAAGTTTGCAATTTCTTCAGCCATTTAATAATATCTTTATGTGAAGAAACTTTGCTAAGTTAACCATAATATTCATTGACTGGGTGGGATGTGAATGGTATGTTAGAAATGTGTGAACTGAAGTTCCTATAATCATTATATATAAAACCTTTATTTAAAAAAATCAATTCCATACTAAAACTAGGAATGAAAGTGAGGTATTTCTAAATTTTGGCAAAAGTGGATCATTTTTGTTTAAATATTATAGCAGGAAGAACTACAGCAATCTGTTATTTTACCTGAAATGGACAAGCCTCTGTATTACGAATACTTTCAAGCTGCCCTTTGGATGAAACCAAGAAATGCATTTGGAGATATCTATGTTTTTCTGTCTTTGTAAATTTAGATTCTGGAATTGGGGGTTGGTGGTGCGGTGAGCTGCTCACAAGTGGCCAGAACTCCTACTCCTAAAGGATTTTTTGAGATTGAGGAACGCATATTTAATCTCCCCTTTATGCCTTGGTTCTAGTTCCTCTTTCCAAGTTGAGTGACAGTTTTTGGGGGTTTTTGTTTTAGTTGGTGCTCTGATACTTAATCTCAGTACCCTTTATTCTCGATTGTCAAATTTTGATAAAATATGTGCCATTTTCTTTGGTAAGAGAAAGCAGGTCTTATTGTCTGCCAGAACACAATTTATATGCCTTATTGGCTCCATTAAACTTTTTGAAAACTTTAGTATTTGTTACTTTTTTCCATTGCATTTAATCACCTGTAACTCCCTCCTTCCTTTTCCATCCCATTGTTCTGTCCTGTGCCACCTGAGCACAGACTAACCCTGAGACCCAAGATTAGAGAGGAAAATGATTTCTCTTAGGAAAAGTTAGTTCTGACTGCTAGATTTTTGAAGCCTTTCTTTGTACCATTTTAGATACAAAACAAATCATGGAAGATTGCGTATTTGTGTGGTACTTTTTAAATAACGATATACACACACACACACACATATATATCTTTTTTTTTTTTCAGTTTCTTGAGAACATTGTAGGCTGAATTTTAAAACTTAACACTTTGCTTTTGGGGGAACAGAACCTCTTTTCATCTTAATGTAGATTATTTGATTCTTTTAGACATCATAGCTCATTAGTTCTGTTCCTGTCATCCTAACTTGGCATGAGTGGGTTGAAGTCATCCTATACTGCAGTGTTCTGAGCATGGCTGAAGCATTAAAAACTGAATTATAATGTCTGGTATTTTATAGAGCGAAATTAATGGAAGACATTTGGCTGAATCTGAAGACCTGCAGTCAAATTCTTCATTGTGGTTTACCCAACTGGAGTAGTGGTATACCTTAAATCATTCAATGAATAAATAATTTAAAAAAAACAAAAAACTATGGGGTTTGTCTGCAGTTTTGTTTTGGTCATCACACCTGAATAACTATTCGATGTATTCAAATGAAGTCTAGGCTTTAAAAAAAGGACTAACTAGTCTTCTACATCTTTTTCCTAAGGGCAATTGGAACTCATTAAACTTGAGTAATTGTGACTTTGGGTTTTTTTTACTGTAGTGAAAGCTGGGTAAGTTCCCTGTGTAGTAAGGGGATGGCTAAGGTCTGACCGTGAGGATGAGCCAATGTCTTAGTGCAGTGAAGGTGCAAGATGCCAAGAGGTGATTTGGAAATGGCGCCTTTAATAGGGGACATGAACAACACAGTTCATTTTTGAAAATTATGAACAAATTAAATTTTGGGCATGATTACTGCCTACATTTTTTTTGAGAGGTTGTAGTGACTATGTTAGTAAATCTCACTGCATTCTATTTCATACAACTGTCACTTTATTAGGTTGATTACTTAGGTGTCTAGTGCTGAGGTTTGGAATCTGCAGAAGTATATTCTACCCTTTTGGAATGGAGTGACTTGGAAGCACCCTACAAACAAGGTCAGAAAAAAACCCTTGTTTATTAAAGTTAAACTTAAGGTCATTAAAGATGATCGTTCTGATCAGATGTTTATAGTGCTTGCTCTCCCCACCCCCTTCGAAAGCTTTTATAACTTTGATCAGTTCAGATGACTTCCAGACTTCACACGGGAATGTTCCTGAAGTGTAGGATGTTTAGTGGGGACTGTATTTTGGCTGTTACTCCATGTGTTGGACTGATGCATTTCATGTGGTGAGATCCAGGGCTTTACTTCCTGTGATAGGGCATTCATGTTCTCTGTCAAGTTCAGCAGATAGCAGCCTGTGACATGAGAGGGTTTTGAGGGTTTGACACAAATTTGTAGCCTTCAGCAAAAGTGGGAAGTTGCATTGCTATTCCAAGTTTCTGAAAGCCCCTCATTTTATTTGTATTGAATTAGTGCTTTAAAGAGCCTCTAAAAATGTAAAAATCAAGGCACACAACAGCTTATATAAGCATATGCAGATCTTTTTTGCATCAGAATATATATGGTGATGTCTTATGGCCAAATACTACACCATTGTATGGGTGAGCCTTTATAGGAGTTATGGTTTTTCTTAATATGTTTTGTTTTGATTTTTTAGAGAGGAAGGGAGAGAGAGAAACATCGACTGGCTGCTTCCTGCAGGCCCCCTACTGGGGATCAAGCCTGACGGGGAAATCGAACTGGGACCTCTTCAGTCCATGGGATGACGGACGCTCAATCCACTGAGCCACACTGGCTGGGCGGGAGTTGCAGTTTTTCATAATTATTAGTAGCGTGGCAGTGAATATTCTAGTTTCTTTAGTTTTCTATAGGAGAAGTTTCTGCCGGTAAAATTGCTAATGCAAAGGAATTTATATTTAAAACATTGATGGGTCCTCCCAAAGTACTTTCTGCAAGGAACGGTTAATGCTTCTATTAACATGGCGACCAAGAGTGCCTTTTCCTCTGTGTCTTAGCCATTGTTGGCTGTCTATACTATTTGTAGGCAGAGGGCACTTACCATTTTCATTTACTTTTTGCCCCCTCATATGGAGAAAGAATCTATGCTTGAAATTACGTGGATTTGAATGCTGACTCCACCACTTACTGGGTATGGGAACCTGGGCCTTTCTGGGCTCAGTTTCATGTGTGAAGTAGGTATAATAGAAAAAGAAGAAATGACACAAAGCTTAGTGCCTTAGATTCCATGGATAATTTGCATCTACATGTGTAATCTGTCATCACTGGACCTCTGGAATGACTGATAGTTTTTCAGTGGCACTTTTTTTTTTTTAAACACACACACACACACACACACACACACACATTTCTGTAAAAGAAAAGTCAGACATTACTATAAAGGCCCTTTTAACTTGTCCTCCTCCTTCACCCTCCTCACAGGTAAAAACGGAATGGTTTTGGAGAATAGCCTTCCAAATAGTTTTCGGTGTTTTTTTAAGTGTTTCATGTATGTAGCCATTAAAACGTACTGGTTGATTGCTGGTAATTGAGGGATTAGTGCTGGATAATACCCTGCAGTGATGAAGTCATTCTGGAAGATGGGAACTTTGAAGCCCATGTCTTGAAAAGAGACTGATTTCACCATGTTCTGGTGCAGTTTGAAACCAGGGGCTGGGTGGGGGTTAGGTACCAAACACAGTGATGCTGATTTTCTGTAAAGGCTTGTCCACATGTGAGATCCTATTTTTCAAACAGGTTGAGTGTCTGCCAAGGAGATGCCACAGATCAGCAAGAACAGGCAGCCTAAATTCCTAAGTCCTTAACCCTCAGGTCAGGGCACCATGCCTTTTGAACCACAGTTGAGGCATTTTTGCTGTATGCTACAAGGGCTTTGGTGCAGCCCCCGGTACAGTTAGGGCTGTGGCATTTTTTCCTTTCAGGTCTGGTGGGTGTTGTCTGAGCTGCCAGAAGTGTGGAGCTGCCTTTAAGAGCTTCAGTGGTTAGCAACAAGGACAGCCTGCACCAAGGACAGCTCAGCAGGCCGAGAGGGTTTTGTAGCTGGACTGAGAAAGAAGGACTTGGGGGGTACCTGGGTCAGCCTGTCACCACTGGTTTCCCTGGGCTGCTTTCAGCACTTGGGGGGCCAAGTGGATTTGTAATCCAGATGTCTTTCTGCATAAATCCACCACGGTATGTGCCACTGCAACTTTGAGGTTGGAGGGAAGATTCTCAGAATCATTGATACTCCTCAGGAGTGGTGTTGCCAGAGCTGAAATCTCTCTGGGGAGAGGGAGGGGACACCTCCCACATCGTCCTTGAGTGCTGTGGGAGGAGATGGATGGCTTTTCCCCATCTCTTCTCCTGAGGTGATGCCATAACTACAGTGACCATTGATTTCAAGGTGCATCTAGAAATTGGTAACTGCCAAGTAGTTCTGATTTGCTTTTTGAGGTGTCTTAGGTTAACATAATGACGTTCTGTATATTAAGGCTTGTGTCTCATCTGTCTCAGTGTTTCACAAATGTTTTGGTCTGTGGTCTACAGAAATACCTCCCATCAAGACCTCATGTGGAGACACATCCACCATAAGTAAGGAATTGTAGAGAGAGGTTCTTACCTGTGTCTGTGGGCATTGCCCGTGGTTGTTTCTTGCTGTTTCATTGACTACTACATTGGCCCCACTAGTTTGAAAACCTGGCTCTCTGGAAGGCAGCACCTGGCACAGAGTAGGTACTTGGACATTTCTTGAAGGAGTGAGTAGATCAAAGGTGGCTTGACATTTTCTAGGTTTTCATGAAAAGTCGCTGTATTTCCTTGTGGGCCCTCCGGTCTATCAAGAAGCAAGGTATGGCTAAGCAGGACTTCGGGGTGGGTGAGGTGTGGGTTAGCCCTGCCTTGAGTCTGCTGAGATGAAGATGCCAGGGACGACGACGGCTGGCACAGGGTAAGCACTCACATGTTAATCACCTCATCATAAACTTTTCTGAGTGTGAAAGGCACACTCTTCGGTTCCACACTAGCCATCTTACTCATTTCCTTTCCCCTCCAGTTTTATGGTTCTCAGCATCCCTGCACAGAATCAATCACCTGTGGTCAGAATGTGCCCATGTCAACTAATGGACTCCGTAGGGTGGGACCAGGCACCAGCTCTTTTCCAGTTCCTCCAGTGGAGAACCACTGGGCCTGCGGTGCATTGCACAGAGAATTCCGAGGGGTGTTGCTTTGGTTCTTTCCAGATTGTTACTAGGCAGATAGATGGCTGGTGGCTCTGGGCCTCCTAGGCTGGCCCTGAGGCTGAGGGCAGCTGGTGCTGTCAGAGGCCTGTGCCCCTCCCCTTGGGCTGCCTGCCCATCCACCTCTAGTTCCTCAGGCTTTGAGGAAGTCTGGACATAAGCAGGGCGTGGGGGTGGGCAGGAGGAAGTTCACACCCACAGGGCCCTAGGGCAGGTGAATTGCCTGCTCACCAGGAGAGGAGTCTTCTGCCTCTGGCTGTCAGCATGGTAAAGGTTTAATATACGGATTTCTGGACTCCCCGTTTGCACACAGTAAATCCACAGGTCTGGGATGGAGTCAGGGTATCTCTTTATTTAAAAGAAAAAAATTGTTGCAAGTATTACAGATGTCCCTCCTTGATTTTCTGCCCTCTGGCCCCCTCCTTGCTCTCACCTTTCCCTTCACCACACTATTGTCTGTGTTCATTGGTTCAGTATATATGTGTAAGTTCTTTGGTTTATCTTCCCTCATGCCCCTTCCCCCAACAGGGTATCTTTTTTTTCTTTTTAAAGACCAATCAAAGAATAAAACAAAAACGGACCCTAAGTATATGCATTTGGAGGGAAATTGTACAGGAAAGTTCAAGGTGAAGTCGTCTGAGCAGTGTCGCCGATGTCATTGCGCATGCAGGTGAGCCTGGAGTTGTGAGGCCTGCAGCTACAAGGGAAGCGGGGCCAAGGTTGAGGTTGATGGACACAGCAGAAAATAACAGGGAGAACCTTGGTCCTCGAGCATGTCAGCTTCGCTTAGAATCCTGTTACAAGGAGCAATTCCAAAAGGTAATGTCAGATGCGGTTTGGCTTAGCGGTTAGAGCGTTGGCCCACGGATCAGAGTCCTGGGTTCAGTTTCTGCGAAGGGCACGCACCTCAGTTGCAGTTTGTCCTCGACCCAGGTTGGGCTTGTGTGGGTGGCAGCCAGTCGATGTGTCTCTTTCACGTCAATGTCTCTCTCTCTACCTCCATCTCTCCCTCCCACTCTATCTGAAGATAAATGAAAAAAAAAAAAAACAACCAAAGAAACGACAAACATGAATACGTATGTTTCCCTGAACATCTATGAAAGGGGCCATGTGCAGCTAAACTGCACTTTTGTTTTCTGTTAAAGCAGTTGGAGGTCTTTCCCTGACCAGTTTATACACATCTGCTGTTATTATGTAATGAGTATTGTCATGAACAAGGTCTAAAGGTCCTGAGAGCTCATCCTGCCATCAGGTAGGTACTTTTGTCTCCATTTACCAGATGACCACATTGGTGTTTCAGTGTCTGGCTTCGTGGCCACTGCCCTGTGTGGGGCTGGGCATGCCGTGGGCTCTTGGGGATCCCTCAGTGCCGCTCTGCCTGGAGGTCCCAGAGCCTTGTGATTCCACTGTCACTGACACATCCTGGCAAGTTCTGTAGCCACTGCCTCAGTTTCTTCCTCTATAAAGAGGGTGGTTTGTGAGGATGAAATGAGGTAATGTCTGAGGGCACCTGGCTCAAGGTGAGCACTACAGGCAATCCTGGCTATAAGAGAGCATTCTCTCCATTCTTCCACAGGGGAGTTGAGGTGATAGGCAAATTGTCCCAAGGTTGGTAAGCGGTGACTCAGGTTGGAGGCCGTTCCCAGGTGAGAGAAGGGGAGGAGGAATGTGCTGAGGTGCAGGGAATGTCACCAGGAATGGCCTTGGTGGTGACACCTACCCCAAAGGGAAGGAACAGTCTGTTCTGGGTAGCTCACAGCCACTGGCAACATGAGGACAACAGGTGGGCTCCTTTGAAGCAGCCTGGGACCTGACATCTGGGAGACAAAAGCAGCCAGTGATATCCTGTTTTAAAATTAACTCCTGACTGCTGAGTCCACCATGCAGTGGACTTTCTTCCGGCTGTGGAAGCCTGAGCAGTGTCATCTCTGGGCGTGGGTAGCTGGCTGGTAGAGTCATAGGCCCGACAACTGTTGAGACATTTTGCACGGGCCCACAGCCCAGCAGTGGGGGAAGCTCCTAAGGCAGGGGGGTAGAGGTGGTTGGTATTTCCATCACCTGGGTGAGGAGCTGGTGCTGTCTGAGGCTGGGGAGGACCAGGACCAGGGCCTGGGCCCTGTGTGCTGTTGCCCCAGCTGGCTTGCTCAGTGGGTGCCCACAATGAGGATTTCCCTCCCTGAGCATGACCCAGCAGGGTCTGGGAGCCACCCCACCGAAACCTCCAGAGGTTTCTGGTTACACTCCAGCTGCAAGTTTAGAAATGCTGTGAAATTCTTTCCATTTTTGTCTGCCCCTGGGATGCCCTTTCTGCTCACTTTTTGGAAAGGCTGCATCTTGATTCATTTCAGTTTGTCTAACATGTCATCTCCTTGGACCCTCCTCTGCTGCATTTTTCTCTCTGCCCTTTATTTTTCATTATGTCTTGTGATTTTATGTACTGGTATACTTTTGTTTTGATCAACCTTTCCTGGAGTCTCT